TGTGTGAGTGTGTGTGGTGTGTGTGTGTGTGTGTGTGTGTGTGTGTGTGTGTGTGTGTGTGTGTGTGTGTGTGTGTGTCTCTATTGTGAATGAGATTGTGCTTTTTATTTGGGTGTCTGTTTGTTTTTTGTTGATGTATAGGAATGTGACTTTTTTTTCTAGGAATTCTACTTAATGGATTACATTTAGACCACTAAATGTAATCCATTAAGTAGAATTCCTATACCCTGAGACTTTGCTAAAGTCCTTTATCAATGCAAGGAGGTTTTTGACAGATTCTCTTGGGTTTTCAAGGTATGGAATCATGTTGTCTGAAAAGAGGGATAACTTAACTTCCCCTTTTCCTATTTGGATACTCCTGATTTCCTTCTGTTGTCTGATTGCTCTAGCTAGGATGTCCAATACTATGTTGAACAGGAGGGGTGAGAGTGGGCATCCTTGTCTTGCTCTGGTTTTCAGGGGAAATGGTTCCAATTTCTGTCTGTTTAGCAGTATGTTGGCTATGGTTTCTCATAGATGGCTGTTATATTTTGAGGTATGTTCAATCTATGCCTAGATGTTTGAGGGTTTTTATCGAAGGGGTGCTGGATTTTATCAAAAGCTTTTTCCACATCTAATGATATAATCATGTGGTTTTTGTCTTTACATCTGTTGCTGTATTTAAATATGTGTATGGTCTTCTGGATGTTGAACCAACCCTGCAACCTGGCGATGAAGCTGCTTGGTCATGGTGGATGATTTTTGAGAGGTGTTGTTGGATCCGGTTTGCTAGAATCTTGTTGAGAATTTTAGCATCTATGTTCATCAAGGATATTGGCCTGTAGTTCTCTTTCTTTGTTGGGTTTTTACCTGGTTTGGGTATCAATGTGATGTTAACTTCATAAAATGATTTGGCGAGAGTTCCATCTTTCTTGTTTGCCTGGAATACTTTCAATAGGATTGGTATCAGCTTCTCCTTGTATGTTTTGTAGAATTCTGCTGGAAAGCCATCAGGTCCAGGGCTTTTTTTGTAGTCAATTTCCTGGGTTTATAATATGGTAGATTTCCTGGGTTGTTAATGGTCTATTTAGGGTCTCGATTTTCTCTTGTTTCAACCTGGGGAGGTTGTGTGATGTAAGAAAGTCCTCTATTTCATTTAAGTTTCCAAGTTTATTTCCATATAGGTGTACATAGTAATCTCTGATAATCTTTTGTATTTCTTCGGGGTCAGTTGTGACTTCATCTTTGCATTTCTGATTGTGTTTATTGGGGCTTTTTCTTTTTCTTTTTCTTGGTCAGTCTAGCTAGGGGGTCCATCAATCTTTTTCATCCTTTCAAAAAACTAGCTTTTGATTTCACTGTTTTTTTGTATTATCTTTTTGTTTTCTGTGTCTCAAATGTGGGCTTTTATTTTGGTGGTCTGGATTCTTCCACTAAAGTTAGGGTTTTGGTGGTCTTGCTTTTCCAGCTTCCTTAGGTGATTCATTAGGCTGTTAACTTGTGATCTTTCCATTTTGTTTGTGTGTGTTCATAGAAGATGTAAATTTCCCTCTTAGGACTGTTGAAATGGCATCCCAGAAATTTTGGTAAGATGTTTGTTTTCATTTGTTTCCAGATATCTTTTCATCTCTGTTTTTATTTCCATGTTAGAGTGAATATCTTTTTGTAGTTTACTTAGAAAGCTGCCTTTTGAAAGTTGGTGCTCCTATGTTGGGTGCATATATGTTTAAGATGGATATTTCTTGTTAATGGATTGAGCCTTATATTATTATGTAGTGATCTTCCTTATTGTTTTAAATTTTTGATAGCTTAAAGGATATTTTGTCTGATAGTAAGATCGTGACTCCTGCTTTTTTTGTGTGTTTCATTTGCCTGAAGTTTTGTTTCCCATTCTCTTACTTTGAGTCTGTGAGTATCCTTTCTGGTGAGATGAGTCTCTTGAAGACAATATATTGTAGCCTTATGATATTTTATCCAGCTTGCCATTTTATGTTTTTTCAGTGGTGCAGTTAGTCCATTCATATTCAGGCTAATTATTGAGATGTGAGAGTTTAATCCCTGTCATGAGGTTCTTAAAGAGTTTGTTGTTGTTGCTGCTGTTTGTTTGTTGTCTTTCTTTTTGGTTGACTCATGTGTTTTCTTTTTTTTTTTTAATGAGTTGGAGTCTCACTCTCTCGCCCAGACTGGAGTGCAGTCCGGCGATCCTTGCGCCTCAGCCTTCCAAGTAACTGGAACTACAGGTGCGCACTACCACGCCCAGCTAATTTTTTTGATTTATTGTAGAGATGAGGTCTTGCCAAGTTGCCCAGGCGGGTCTCGAACCTGTGGGCTCAGGCAATTCACTCACCTCGGCCTCCTAAAGCACAAGGTTATAGGCGGAGCCACCGAGCCTGGCTCATGTGTATCTTCTATCTTTTTCCTGCATTCTTGTAAAGGGCATTGTTTTTTTTTCCTTTCTCCTGCGTTTAAGACTTTTTTAAGTGTTTCTTGTAGAGCTGGCCTGGAAGCAGTATAACCTCTTAGGGACTGAATGTCTGGGAAGGATTTTCATTCTCCATCACTGATAAAACTTAGCTGGGTAGGTAATTCTTGGTTGAAATTTTTATCTTTGAGAACTTTGAAGATTGGGCTCCATGCTCTCCTAGTCTGAAGTGTTTCTATAGATAAGTCTGCTGCTATTCTAATTGGTCTTCCCCGGTAGATAGTCTGACCGTTCTTGCTGCCTTTAGGATTTTTTCTTTTATACCTATTTCGTGTAGGTGAATTACTGTGTGTCTGGGAGTTGGTCTTCTCATTTGTTGTCTTGCATGGGTTCTCTGAATCCCTTGTGTTTGAATAGTCACATCACTATTGAGATGAGGGAAGTTTTCTTGGATAGTTCCATGGAAGTTTTCTTGGATAATTTCCAGGGTGGTCTCTGTCTCTCT